TGACATGGGTGCACTTACCTACATGCAGGCAATACATGCATACAAATAAAAAAATAAAAATAATAAAATATTTTTAAAAAAGGAAGTTGATATTCTTAATCTCTCTAAATCTGACTGTAAAATGAACAACCAGAACAGAACTGCATTTAGATCTGATGGTTTAGTGGTGTATATATATAGTTCTTTTTGAGACAGTGTCTCACCGTAGCCCCATCTGGCCTGGAGCTCACTATGTAGACCAGGCTGGCTTTGAACTCACAGAAATCTGCCTGCCTCTGCCTCCCGAGTGCTGGAACTAAAGGCATGTGCCACCACACCCGGCAAAACCTGATGGTTTTAAAAAAACATGTTTTCCTTGGGTTATAAAGCTAAAGGGCCATTCAAGGTAAAGGTGATTGACACAGGAATTTAAGCTCTTTAAGGTTTTGATACTGGGCTTGTATATAGAGCTATTTTTACTTTATATCAGAAGTTTTAAAATTTCAAGGATATGAGTAAAGTAATCTTGGTTTATTATTGTTGTGATTTATATCATACACCAGGAGCAAAAGCTTTTATAATTAATTTTCACATTACTGATAGAAAAGTGGTAGAAAACTAGGATTCTCTAGACATTCAGCTTACAGGCTTTGTATCCAACATGTTCATGACATACTGGATTCTTAGCTAAGGGGCACTGATTCTAAGGAGGAAGTTAGGTGTCAAGGGCATGATAGAACATGCTGACAAAGGACATGTTGGCCCCAAGGCCTGCTTCCTTCACCCTTTCGCTTCTCATCCTCACCTCCTTTTATAATTATGGATTTGAGTTATAATGAACATAACGGAAGCTGAAATAGAAAGAGATATCAGAAAAAGGCATCGTGTGTGGATCTGGGTTGGATAAGACAGTCAGTTTGCTTTGGCTTTGCTGGGAGAGAGTCAACCGTGCAAGGCCAGGGCCTCTGGAGATTTTTAGCTCCAGCAAAAGAATCAATCAGCATAGCTTTTTCTGTCCTAGTACCAACAAAAATGTCGTTTATGTCCCTAAAGACAGTGCTTCAGGACTAATATCATCAAGAGTACACAGAATATGTGAGGACTTCAGCAGTCAGGGGAACCAGAAAATTGGAATTTTGGAGCTGAGATATAGCTCAGTTGGTAGAGCATTTGCCTAGCATGCATGGAGCCCTGGGTTAGATCCCTAACACCATGTAAATGGGGCATGGAGGTACATGCCTGTAATCCAAGCACTTGGGAGTGGAGGCAGGAAGATGAGAAGTTCAAAGTTATTCTTGATACATAGAAAGTTCAAGGCCAGCCTGGGCTGCATGATACAGACCCTGTCTCAGAAAAGAAAAAAGAGAATGGGAATTTTCTCATTTGTGTCACAATTATTTATTGAGCATCTTCTCTGTGTTGGGACTAGGGCCATTGAGTTGGAATTTAGTTGTGAAAAACCAAACCAACAGAAAAGCAGATATAGCTCTGCCCCGAAAGATCTTCTAGTCAGTGGGCTGGTAGGAGAAAAGATACTGATACTTTCGTCTATTATGTGTTGATTATTCTTTGATATCTACAAGGGGGCTCTGGAAAAGTGAAGTCAGGGCAATCACTGTATGATTCCAGGAGTGCCGCTCACAGGGACAGTCATGGGACTGATGTCTGTCAGCCAGTGAGGATTATGCAAAGACAGGAAGGGACAGTAATATTTACTAGACAAAGAGGAGGGGGCAGCACACAGAGAAGGGAGCAAAGCAGGGCGAGGGAAGCAGTGGTCGCCTTTTCCCGCCCCCCTGCCACTCCAGCCCTCAGAAGGAACTGCCTTCAGTACCCAGGACAGTGCACTCTCTAATTTTCTTGCTTTGAGACATTTTGACCACACTCCCTTTATTTTTGTATTTGCAAGTGGCTGAGGCTAACATATGGGGAAATGTGTTGAGGTGTGCCTGGTGTGTAACCACTAGCTCCTTGCTCAGACTCCTGGCTTGACAGGACACATTCCCAACAGTTACTGGTTGTTGACCAGATGGTGGCCTTTGATCAGTCTCTCCATATCTTATCAAGGGTGAAGAATGTGAGACTGGTCCTGAGACAGGGAACTGGAGCCAGTTTTCTGGTCTGCTTCCCTCTTAGATGATCTGTGGAGGAGCCAGCCTGGATCTGGGCAGACAATGAAGGAGTCCAGTGTCTATCTAGGCCTTGTCAGGCTTGCCAAACATTTATGATTTGTCTGAGAGCACTTGGGAAGACATGGGAGTGTTTTCTTTATCTTTTTGAAAGAAACTACTTTATTCTAATTAACTCACAAAGAGTAACTTCATGCAGTTAGTTTAAGGAGGCCATACAATCATTTTCCCAGTCCTTAATTCTACACAATTTCAGTGACTGTCTGCACAATCTTAACACTCCTTCGTGGCCATTATGAAGCCGGGGAGCTATTAATGAAGAGAGGTTTAACTTATGGTTTTATACCCTATGTTTTCATCATCAATTACATTTTAAAAAATATTTTAATTTTATGTGTATGAGTGTATTGCCTGCATGTATGTAAGTGCACCTGTGTCGTGCAAAACCCAAGGAGGTCAAAAGAGGGAGTTAGGTCCCTTGGAACTGGAGTTATGATAGTTGTTAGCTTCCATGTGGGTGCTGGGATATGAACTCAGATCTTCTGTAAGAGCAGCTGGTGCCCTTAACTTCTGAGCCATCTCTCAAACCCATCAATTACATTAACTTGGTGATCAGAATCTATTTTCCATATTTTTCAATTTGAACTTTTGTGGTGGTGCACGCCTTTAATCCCAGGACTCGGGAGGCAGAGGCAGGTGGATCTCTGTGAGTTCAAGGCCTGCTTGGTCTACATAGTGAGTTCCAGGACAGCTGGGGCTACAGAGAGACCCTGTCTCAAAAAAAAAAAAGACCAGGAAAAAAAAAAAGTCAGTTCTTCTCTTTTATGCCCCACCTCCTCTGTTGAATGTTGAAACCCTTCCTCATCCCACAAGCCCCTCCCATTTTCTTGTCTTGTGTGTGTGTTTGAGCACTGAGTTTCATTGGGGTTGTTTACATGGACATGAAATGAGCTCCTTGTTTAGACTAATCCATTTGCAATTCAACATGGATTCACTCCCTCATTGAAGGCTTCACTGAACTGAACACTGCTTTGCTTCTGGGCACATTAAAAAACTGTCTTGGGCTGGGTGTGGTGGCTCACACCTTTAATCCCAGCAGAGGCAGGTGGATCTTTATGAAACCAAGGCCAGCCTGGTCTACATAGTGAGCTCCAGGCCAGCTAGGGATACAAGGAGACCATGTATGAATAAAACTCAAAAAACAAAAATTAAAAAAAAACCTGTCTTGTCTCATAAAGCCAAGGGCTGCCATGGCTCTCTTGCTGTGCCACCTGAGCTCCCTGAGGCACCTGGTCAGTGATGTCAAGCTTTTAGGTCATATCCCCACTGAAGCCCCCAGTGATGGTGTCATCAGTATGTGTCCCATGGCTGAGCCCACAGCCACACCAGTGTGATGGTCACAATATGGGCCATGAGTCCTGGATGCTGGGTGCAGCAGTAGTGAACCCACTGCAGATGGAGGCTGCTGCTGGCAGCTGAGCAGGGGGTGCTAGCCTGAGGACAGTTCTCATCTGATGAGCTCTGCTGGCTTAGGCCATGTGCAAAGTGTGGCTTTGGCTCCCACAGTAATCCTAAGTGTGTTGCAATTCATCAACTAGAAATGCAGACCTTGTGGGAGTGTTTTAAAGAAGAGGGAACTGTGGCCTATTAGGGAAAGACCCAGAAAGCATATCAGAAAGTGATGTTGACTTTGC